AACTGTCTCGCTTGGAGTCACCTTCAGCTAGCATGTCATATAAGCCCCGGTCCCAATGTATAAAACCACATTAAATAAAAATGATAAATAGCAGGTGCAGGTAATCCTCGATTTACAAAGTGAACATTCAAAGTTACAACGGCACTGAAAAAAAGTGAGTTATGACTGTTTTTCACACTTACGACCACTGCAGCATCCCTGTGGTCATGTATCAAAATTCAGAAGCTTGACAACTGGTTCCTATTTATGACGGTTGCGGTGTCCCGGGGATCCCCTTTTGCGACGACTTTCTGACAAGCAAAGTCAATGAGGGAAGCCCGTTTCACTTAATAACCGTGTTACTAATTTAACGACTGCAGCGATTCATTTCATAACCGTGGCAAGAAAAATCGTAAAATGGGGCCAAACTCACTTAAAAAAATTTCTCCCTTAGCCACATAAATTCTGGGCTCCATTGTGGTCGTAAGTCAAAGGACTACCTTTAGAGCAGGGGTAGGCAACCTTGGCTCTTTTATGACTCATGGACTTCAACTCCCAGAATTCCTGAGTCAGCATAGCTGGAATTCTGGGAGTTGAAGTCCATGAGTCATAAAAGAGCCGAGGTTGCCTACCCCCTGCTTTAGAAGAACAAAAAGGCCCTTTCCTAAAACAATTTGCCTCTCTTTGGTAAACTCAGGAGAAGCCACTTAAAAGAAGAAATGTGTTTTTAATTTTGGCAGAGCCTCTTAAGAGGAACCCAAGAGCCTCTGGACGAGCTTACGACAACGTCTACGAAGGATTGGCATCCTTTTCCGGTGGCTACTATGTGAACACGAAGAAAAAACAACTTTCTAGGGCCCTTGGCCTACTGGAGATGTCCCTGAATGCCGCTCCTGTTAAAATAGCCCACAGTCGTGTGGATGGGTCTCAGTTCTCCTTCCCTGTGGATGAAACTCTCTCCCAAATATCAGTCTCAGTCAAGACTTTAAGGCGTGAGAGGTTCAACTTTAAGGTCTTGCAACCTTCAGGTAATTGAAGAGAGGACGAAAGTGAGTATACAAAACGTCACAAAAGGCTGCAGCTACACAAGCAAACACTTTCCCTTGTCTGCTGTGGGACAGGTGTAAAAAAAAGGGGGCGGGGCTTCAATTGCACAATCATGGATGCCCTGACTTGGAGGAAGCCATAATACCGGGCATTTTAACCTCTGCAAGTACAGGTAGTCCTTGACTTACAACAGTTCATTTAGTAACCATTCAAAGCTACGACATTGTAAGACGCTAAGAAAAAGACTCAGGCATGTCTTGAGCAGAGATTTGAAGCTGCTGCAGAGCTGCTTGTCACAGCTTGAGGCAGCTTGAGAATCTCTGTGTGTTTATTGGTTTTTATATACTTTTTACATACATAGGCTTTACCATTCGATGCTGACATTTTACATTCACAAGTTTAATCATTAGATGCTGACATAAAGTTTCTTCATTGGAAAATTCTTTCATATAAGCAACTATTTCCTAGTAACACATTACATGATCAAAGACCAGGTAAAGAACAAATACAGGCAGATCAAAAGGAGAAAGAACTAACAAAGACAGGAAGAGATGGGAAGGAACTTAAGCATATTATCTGTTTAGGTAGGTGAGGCATTAAGTCAAAAGGGGATGACCTTCTGGCTGCTTCATTGGGACAAAGGGTATCAAAAGGTTATGAGGTTTGTGGGGGAGGAAAGCATGGCAGTTTGCTGCGCGTGCATTTTTCCCCACACGACATCACTAAAAAAGTGACTTAGGGCTGTGTCATGGTTCCGATTAGGGGAATACTTCAAAGAACCTCGAGGCATTGTTTACCTTAAAGTCTCTTTATTAGTGTAACACCCTTCCGCATGAACATGGTGGATGCCAAGATCTGAATTCCCCTCCCCTGAGCACATAATATTCAAGCACAATTCCCTCCTCCAATTAGCAGTCATAAATCACGTTCTCCAATCAGTTTGAAGGGCAAAGTTTCCCTTCCCTTCTGTAGCCTGCCTTTCTTATCTTAACTAATCCCCACACACATTCTTTCTCCTCCCCTCCCAGCATCATCTAATTTAACTCCAAAAGTACCACACAGCTTATACAGAGAGTGGCTGCCTCTTCATATTTTGTCAAAGCAAGAACATCCAATGTTAGCAGCGTTGACAGGCGGTTTTTAACACTTATGATCATTGCAGCATCCTCACGGTCACATGATCAAAATTCAGACCCTTGGCAGCCGACTCACCTTTATGATGGTTGCAGTGTCCCGGGGTCATGTGATCCCCTTTTGTGACCTTCTGAACAAGCAAAATCAATGGGGCAACCAGTTTCCCTTAACGACCGTGTTACTAATTTACCAACTTTACCGATTCGCATAACAACTGTGGCAACAAAAGTCATAAAGTGGGGGCAAAACTCACTTAACAAATGTTTCACTTAGCACAGAAATGGTGGACTCAATTGTGATCGTAAGTCAAGGACTGCCTCTAACGCAACTCATTCCTTTTTGTGACATTCCACGATAGGTGACCCATTCACAAAACCTCGAATGTTGGTTGACACAAGTAATCACAAGATCGTGAAGATATCTCCTATCCCTCAGCAAGGTCGGTGGACCGTGTCTGTGACTCCCAGGGGCTCTTACGAGGTAGACGTTAGAGGCAAGAGTTTGCTTGACTTTACCTACCAGATAATGGAAAAGCAGAATGGCTACATGCTTCCAATCCAAGGACAGCCTACAAAAGGTACGTTTTCAGTGTGCAGCAGCAGCCAAAAAAGTTAATACAATCCTGGGTTGTATAAACAGAGACATAGAACCAAGATCACGCCAAGTATTAGTACCGCTTTATAAAACCCTAGTGAGACCACATCTGGAATACTGCAACCAATTTGGGTCACTATACTACAAAAAAGATGTTGAGATTTGGAAAAAGTTCAGAGAAGAGCAACTAAAATGATCAAAGGCCTGGAGACTAAAACATATGAAGAACAGTTGCAGGACTTGGATTTGGCTAAAGAAAAGAAGAAACAGGGGCGACTTGACAGCAGTATTCCAGTATTTGAGTGGCTGTCACAAGAAGAGGGTGTCAAACTATTCTCCAAAGCACCAGAGGGCAAGAGAAGAAACAATGGTTGGAAACTAATCAAAAAGAGAAGCAACCTGGAATTAAGGAGAAACTTCCTAACAGTGAGGACAATTAACCGGTGGAACAATTTGCCTTCAGAAATTGTGGGCCTTCCATCAAGGGAGTTTTTTAAAAAGAGACAAGACAGTCACTTATCTGAAATGGTATAGGTTCTCCTGCTTGAGCAGGGGGCTGGACTAGAAGACCTCCAAGGTCCCTTCCAGCTGTATTCTATTCTAGTCAATTGTCAATAGAATTCTTTATTGGCCAAGTGTGATTGGACACAAGGAATTTATTTCCAGTGCATAAGCTGTCAGTGTACATACAAACAACCAGGTGATAGGTCTGTATCTGCAAGTATCTGTCATTGATAACAAAATGGAAGCTTATTTCCAAATTGCCCTCATACATCCATATATAAGTACTTACACCCATATATACATATACATATACACACACAAACACACACACACACACATATACAGTATTAATCACTGTCCATTTTGAATACATAGTGGAAAGAGGAAGCTTGAGAATTCACAAGGCTGACGCTATATGGAACAAAATTGTGACAGAATCTGGATGTTCTGTTTCAGATGCCTTTATATCTAGTTGTTTTGGCATGCAGTGTCCTATAGCAGCATCCTGAGGGGTGAGGTTGAAACAGTTTATGATCAGCATGTGAAGGGCCTGTAAATATTTTCTTAGCCCTCTTTCTGCTTCATGCAGTATAAAAGTCGTCAATGGAAGGCAGGCTGGTTGCAATGGTTTTTTTCTACAGTCCAAACTATCGGTTGAAATCTGTACCTGTCCTGTTTGGTTGCTGTGCCAAACCAAACAGTTACTGAGGTACAAATGACAGACTCAGTCATTCCTCTGGAGGAATTGAATCAGCAGATCCGCGGGCAATCTGAGCTGTCTGAGTTGACAAAGGAAGAACATTCTTTGTTGTGCTTTTTTAACAATGGTTCTAATATTAGGGGTCCTGGGAGATAATAGAACCTGAAGGTCTATACTGTTGATACTGTGTTGTCTAATATTGTAAGAGGTGGTGGAATATATCCTGTTGCGATCCTGGGGTTAAATCCCCCATTACCAACATCCATGCTAAAAAAAAAAAAAAAAGTCAGGGAAGGGTTTTAAGTGCCAAGAAAAATCCATTTCAGAAGAAAGTAGTAACTGGGAGAGGGATCTTGGAGGCTTAGTGGACAATCACTTAGATAGGAGCCAGCTGCAGTGTGCTGCAGCTGCCAAAAAAGCAAACACACTGTTAGGCTGCATTAACAGAGGGATAGAATCAAGATCACATGAAGTGTTAATACCACTTTACAATGCCTTGGTAAGGCCACACTTGGAATACTGCATCCAGTTTTGGTCACCACAATGTAAAAAAGATGTTGAGACTCTAGAAAGAGTGCAGAGAAGAGCAACAAAGATGATTAGAGGTCTGGAGGCTAAAACATATAAGGAACGGTTGCTGGAATTGAGTATGTCTAGTTTAATGAAGAGAAGGACTAGGGGAGACATGATAGCAGTGTTCCATTATCTCAGGTGTTGCTACAAAGAAGAGGGAGTCAAGCTATTCTCCAAAGCACCTGAAGACAGGACAAAGAAGTAATGGATGGAAATTAATCAAGGAAAGAAGCAACCTAGAACTTAGGAGAAGTTTCCTGACAGCCAGAACAATTAATTAGTGGAACAACCTGCCTCCAGAAGTTGTGAATACTCCAACACTGGAAGTTTCTAAGAAGAGACTGGACAGCCAGTTGTCTGAAATGGTATAGGGCTTCCTGCCTGAGCAGGGGGTTGTACTAGATGATCTCCAAGGTACCTTCCAACTTTATTATTATTATTATTATTATTATTATTATTATTATTATTATTATTATTATTATTATTATTATTATTGTTGTTGTTGTTGTTGTTGTTGTTAGTATTATTGTTGTTGTTATTGTTGTTATTATTATTATTATTATTATTATTATTATTATTAAGGAGTATTGAGGAAGAGAAAGGATTCTGGAGGGCTGCTCTGCTAACTTTCTACATCTTTCTCAGGATCAAACTATACCATCTCTTTAAAGATGCTGGGGCCAGCCAGAGGCACCCAGATGCAGCGTCTGATCATTTCTGATGGACTAGAAGGTCCTATTCACGCTATCATTTTAAACCAAACTTCTGATGCCCTCGGAAATAGCTTGGCCCTTGCTCCGATTCATCTGGATTCGTTGGTATGAACCACGGTTATTTTTTCATCTTCTGATCTGACTCCAAGTTGCATGACTGGTTACAACTCCCATGGTAACCAGGAGAATGTTCTTTCTAATGTCTATATATATATATTAACCCTATAATGTGACGGTAATATTAGTATTTATTCTTCTTATTATCTTCTTTACTTCCCTCTTTTATTGGTACAGGTAGTCCTTGACTTACAACAATGCATTTAGTGACACTGAGAAAAATGGCTTATGACCGATTTCCCACACTTACGATCATTGCAGCATCCCCCATTGTCACATGATCAAAATTTGGATGTTTGGCGATTGACTCATATTTAAGATGGGTGACGGGGTTTTCCGAATTTCTGACGAGCAAAGTTAATGAGGAAGGCAGATTCACTTAACAACCGCAGCGATTCACTTAACAAACATAGCAAGAAAGGTCATAAAATTGGGCAAAACTCGCTTAACAAATGTCTCATTTAGCAACATAAATTTGGGGTTCAGTTGCGATCGTAAATCGAGGACTATCTGTATTGTCATTATTCTCTCTGTTGCTTTGCATGTACAACTGAGTGCTTCTGTACCAATGACAAATTATTTGCGTGTCTAATCACACTTAACCAAATAAGGTATTCAGTTCAATTCAATTCAAATCTGCAAGCTTCTCAGTGGGAGCCATTTTGGACACCCACAGGTTGCTCCGCCAATGCCAAACCTACCCACTGAACCGTAAAGCGAGCTTAGCGTTCGCTGTCTGGTTTTATCAAGTCAAAGGAATCCTACTTTTGAAGATCTAATTGCTCAGTCACTCAGCTTCTCTTCACAGCCAATCACAGAGTAGGAAAACCTTTTGGTTTGGACCTCAAGTTCACCCAGAGGAAGGGGGTGCCGATATTTATTTATTTATTTTTAACAAATATTTTATTGAGTTTTTTAAGGGTAACAAGGGAATAGGGTCAACAGAGGTAAAACAAAGGGAGACATACAAAAGGGTTAAACCAAAGGAAGGGGGTCAACACAAAAGTGGGATCAATCCCACAAAATAACATCGCTTCAGCAAGTAAACCCGTCCAGGTATACATATTAAATTATTTATTACATTTATATCCCGCCCTTCTCCTTGCGGACTCAGGGCGGCTAACAATCAGATAAAATACACACATACAATACACGTTTAAAATTAATTAAAAAGAAATATTTGAGTCTGTTCCAATTAAAAGTAATTAAAACCCCTTTAAAATCCCTTAGGCCAGTCCCGCAAGCTGGAACAACCATGTCTTGAGGGCGCGGCGGAAGGAAGGGAGATCAGGGATCACCCTGATCTCTGGGGGCAGATTACTCTAGTATTAAACAGCTTTCAACATAGTCATGTAAATAACAAGTTAATCAATATATCTCATTCATTTTACTAATTAACAATGCTTTTAATACTAATTAGTTGTAATAACTTTAAAATAGTAATATATTACTTATTGGTTATAATTTACTATATATCACAAATACGGGAAAAAAAGAAAAAAACAGAAAAAGACAAGTTCATACAAATAATCTATATAAATAAAAATGTAAATGTTCGTTTGTTCAAAATCTTAAATCTCCGAAAGTTCTTCACCGATTGCTTTGAAATTTTGACACAATGTTGCATTCGAATACGCGCGTGTTTTTATATACCTATATTATATATATGTCACACCTGTGACAGGTAAAAACATGCTTTTTTGAAAAACAGCGCCATCTGTTGGACATAAAAGCAACACACGCTACGATTTTACGATTCCATTTCAATGTTTCCGATTTACGATCCATTTACGATTTCCAAATTTCCAATTTTACAATTCCATTTCAATGTTTCCGATTGCATTGTTAAATTGAATTTTCATAGATTTCGATTTATTTTCATTTTGATTTAATTATTTCGTGTGACATTGCGTTGGAATTGATGCACAGAGAATGAATAACAAAAAATATTGTATACCCACAAGCATTGTGAAATTAAACATATTAGAAACGTGCGCTTTCTCTTTTCTTTCTTTTCCATTTAACCAGACTGAGCCACAGCAACGCGTGGCCAGGTACAGCTAGTCATGAAATATAAATACAAATTATCAATTATCTCTTTAAGTTTCATAACCTTTTCTCATTCTATCGTATTGCTAACCATTGGTAAATTTTTTCCCATGTTTTAAAATAAATTGTATCTTCTTTCTCTTTCATTTCTAAAGTTAATCTATCCATTTCTGCACAATCAAGTACTTTTGTTATTATAATCTGATCAGATGGTAAATTTTAATTTTTCCAAAATTGGGCAAATGGGTGCCGATATTTATTAATATCCTCATTTCTATTGGCCTTTACCAGCTTTCCATTGAAAGTAATGCCCAAATGGGGTACAATAAATCAAAACCAGCAGAAACTATACAGATGGTTCTTGACTTATTCAGTTAGTGACCGTTCAAAGTCACAACCGCACTGGAAAAAAGTGACTTATGACTGTTTTTCACACGACCATTGCAGCATCCACGTGGTCATATGATCAAAATTTGGACTCTTGGCAACTGGTTCATATTTACGACGGTCGCAGTATCCCAGGGTCATGTGATCCCCTTTTGCGACTTTCTGACAAGCAAAGTCAATGGGGGAGCCAAATTCATTGAACAACCGTGTTACTAACTTAGCAGCTGCAGCAATTCGCTTAACAACTGCGGCAAGAATGGTTGTAAAATGGGGCAAAACTCACTTAACAAGTGTGTCGCTTAGCAACAGACATTTTGGGCTCAATTGCGGTCATAGGTTGAGGACTTCCTGTATCTGTACAAAGTTACAAACTTTACAAAATATCAGATTGGGCCTAAAGTATCAAAAAGGACCAAATTACCTTTAACATGAGTAAAATAAATAAGAAGCCATTCCTGGTTATCATAATATTCTTTAGTATCCATATCAATGTTAACACTAGTTTAACGAAGAGAAGGACGAGGGGGGACATGATAGCAGTGTTCCAATATCTCAGGGGCTGCCACAAAGAAGAGGGAGTCAAGCTATTCTCCAAGGCGCCTGAAGGCAGGACGAGAAGCAACGGGTGGAAACTAATCAAGTAGAGAAGCAAATTAGAACTAAGGAGAAACTTCCTGACAGTTAGAACAATTAACCAGTGGAACAACCTGCCTCCAGAAGCGGTGAAGGCTCCAACACTGGAAGTTTTTAAGAAGAGACTGGACAGCCATTTGTCTGAAATGGTGTAGGGTTTCCTGCCTGAGCAGGGGGTTGGACTAGATGACCTCCAAGGTCCCTTCCAACTTTACTACTACTACTACTACTACTACTACTACTATTATTATTATTATTATTATTATTATTATTATTATTATTATTATTATTATTATTATTATTATTATTTATAATATTTTAATGTTATCCTGTTGTTTTTACTGGGTTGCAAGCCATCTGGATGAGATGGGTGGCATATAAATTTAATAAATAAATAAATGCCTCCTCTGTTATGAGAATATGAGCTAGTATGGCGCAGTGGTGCTCAACTAGAAGCCGGGGGAACCCAGGTTATAGTCACCCTTCACAAAAATTCCCTTGGGCGAGGGAGTTAAATATAATAAATATATAATCAACCGAAGAAATGTAATCACAGTGTAAAACAGCAGCATTAAAAACAGATTGCTCCAGTTAGAACTATTCATACAAAGGATTAAGACAAATACCCAAAACGAAAAAAGAAAAAAAAGCAGAGTCAAGGTTTTCTTCTGTAGCCAGCTATTACTGTTACTGCAAAAATGATGATAGCTATAATTTCTTAAGCCTTTAAGGACTTGGTTTATCTTTATTTAAAAGGCAGCTTCTCGGCATCTGAGTACAGTATCTGCCCGGAACAGCAGATAGATTCCATTAATTCCCTTTTTACCTTCCAGTCTCCGATGCTGAAATTAGAAGGTCTGTCTCCCAGCAACCTGCCCTTCTCACGTCTCAACATCAATCCTATCCATGTGGCGTCAGTGAGGATTCTACCCCTGGCAGACCAAGATAGTAAGTCCCTGGCAGCAGTATGAAAACTTCCTTTGCCATTTTGATCCATCTAAGGCAGGGGTGTCAAACTCAATTTCATTGAGGGCCGCATCAGCATTGCAGTTGCCCTCAGGGAGGCGGGGGGCAGGGGGGGCAGCCAACGGTGGGCGTGGATGGAGTGGGTGGGGCCTACTGGGTGGGCATGGCCAGCTCTACATCGCTCGCGTCAAGGGTGCCTGTGGGGGCCTGGGCAGGAGTGGGACAGATCTGAGGGTCTCTGGCAGAAGGGGTTAGGACCGGGGCAAGCGCCAAGGCATGGTCCATTTCTTCATTCCTCACAAAGGGTGACACTTCCCCAGCATGCACCCAGGGGGCGGGGGTGACGCAGCAGGGGCTGGTTCCTTGTTGTTTCCAGACAGCCTTGTGGAGCTAAGACTGAATGCGTTTCAGCATAGATGGCCACCACAAAATTGTACATTGGCTCCTGGCCGGCCTGGGCCAGGGCCAAGGCAGCGGGGGCCGTTCCCTCACTGTTTCCAGGATGGCTTCGCTGGCCACATGAAACCACTTCGCGGGCCGCATCCGGCCCCCGGGCCTTGTGTTTGACATGTCTGATCTAAGACAAGGGTCCTCAACCCCCGGTCCGTGGACCGGTACCAGGCTGCAGCATGCCAACAACCGGTCCGCACAAACAATCAAAGCTCCATCCGTGGGATGCAGGCAGCACACAAAACCATGCACTGTCCGGTCTGTGGGAAAAACCTTTCTCCACGGAACCAGTCCCTGGTGCCCAAAAGGTTGGGACCTCTGATCTAAGACTACCCGATCTGTGAGCAAAAAGGAAATGTCCACCAGATGGCAACAAAGGGACACAGAAACAAATATATAAGAGTTTGCTGCCATTTATTGGTCATTTGAATTTTTGCAAGTCAGATCTAGTGGACCCAAAGGTGGGTTTTCCAAAAGGGCAACTTTCTTGGTTTTATCCTTAACATTTTGCTTCTCATCCAAGAAGCTTCTCCAGTTCTTCTTTACTTCAGAACCGAAGTCCCAAAGATGCTTTTTCATAAGGCAACAGGAAACTTCTCATCCAAGAAGCTTCTTCAGCTCTGACTGTATGGTGGGGAATGAATCCAGTCAGAGCTGAAGAAGCTTCTTGGATGAGAAGCGAAACATCTTTAAAGGAAAAACAAGAAATCCAGTTGCCTCATGAAGAAGCATCTTTGGGACAAGTATGATCTGGATGACTAAGAATCTCCATAGATATTCAAAACTGAAGAAGCTTCTTGGATGAGAAGCAAAATGTTAAGGGAAAAACCCAAGAAAGTCTAGTTGTCTTTTGGAAAAAGCAGCTTTGGGACAACCATGACCTAGAAAATTGAGAATCTCTATAGACAGATCTAGTGGATCTATACAGTATCTACCTGTGGAACCCTTGGTTCTCTCTGAACTTGGTTGTTTCCTGGCAGACATTTTGTTCCCCGATTACATAACAGATGTTACAACTAAGTAATTAGATCTTACTTAGTCAGGGACCAAAACTTCTGCAAGCAATCAACCAAGCACAGAAAGCTTCAAGGACTCCACAGTTCAACCCATGAGCTACATAGATTCTCTTCTACTAGTGTTACATCTACCTACCTTCCCTTCAGAATCCATAGACACCGCTAAGAAGAATGTTGAAAGTCTATGGAGATTCTCGGTCATCCAGGTCATGGTTGTCCCAAAAGTGATTTTTCAAAAGGCAACTGGACTTTCTTTGTTATTGCTTGAAGATGTTTTACTTCTCATCCAAGAAGCTTCTTCAGTTCTGACTGAATGGTGCAGAATGGAAAGATTTATATTCCCTTTGCAGTCCTCTGCTCGTTAGCACTGTCTCTGAGAGTCGTGGAAGCCACTTGGAGTTTTATCAGTTCTGACTTCAGTCAGAACCGAAGAAGCTTCTTGGATGAGAAGCAAAACATCTTCAAGCAAAACAAGGGAAGTCCAGTTGCCTTTTGGAAAAGTACCTTTGGGACATGAATGTTGAAACAAACCAAGGGTGTAGAACCGCATTTTTCAAATTTTGAGACATGTGGACTTCAACTCCCAGAATTCCCTATCCAGCCACCCCTGAAGACTCCCATTAATTCTCATTCCAGAAAAAAAATATTGGAGTAATCTTTAGACAATTTTAAAAAAAACCAGAAATATTCTCCATTTCACTATTCAAAGCAGGCAAAACTGCTGATATAAATGCAGTGCCTGAAGACACCTGGACACCAACATCTGTTTGCTATTCAGGAACCAAAAGGCTCTCTTTCTTTTTCCTTTTCCTTTCATAGCAGTTATTGAAACAGAATGAAAAAGGAAGTCAGCATGCTGTAAAACATGTTCCCAGCCTCTAATATCAGCTTTGTTTCCAACAGTATTTCAGCTCCATGGAAACCTGCAAGTCAGTCTTAGAAAATAAATATTATGAATGCCCAGTAAAAGGTGACCCATCTTCTCAGAAAAACAAAACAAAAGTACAGTAATCCTTGACTTATGACTGTAATTGAACCTGGAATTGCAGGTGTAAGTCGTGGTGGTTGTTAAGCAGGCCACCACGTTGACTATGCCTAATTTCACAACCTTTTTTGTAGCGGTCGTTAAGCAAACACAGCAATCATTAAACAAACCCATTTTCTCCAATGGGCATTTTTTGCTGGAAACTGCCCCCAAAAAAGCTGCCAAAAAAACAGGGTCATGTGACTGCAGGATGTTGCAAATGGCCATAAAGGTGAGCTGGTTGCCAAGTGCCCAAAATGTGATCATGTGACTATCCGGGGGGGCGGGACAGCCATTGTAACTTCAAAATCAGGTCAAAAGCCCTCTGTGGAGATCCATTGTAACTTCAAATAGTCACTAAGCAACAGGTTGTTAAGTGAGGACTATAGGTAGTCCTCGACTTTCAACCATTCATTTACAACGTTACAATGGCACTGGAAAAAATGACTTATGGCCGCTTTTCACAGTTACGACCTTTGCAGCACACCCATAATCACGTGATCAAAATTCAGACGCTTGGCAACTGGTTCATATTTATGACCATTGCTGTGTCCCAAGGTCATGTGATCTCCTTCTGCAACCTTCTGACAGAGACAATGAGGAAACCAGGTTAGCCATGTAACTAAGTTAACCACTGTAATGATTCACTTAACGACTGTGGCAAGAAAGGTCATAAAATGGGGCAAAACTCACTTAACAAATGTCTCACTTAACAATAGAAATTTTGGACTCCTTTGTGGCCGTAAGTCAAGGACCACCTGTCCCTTCTTGGGAAGGCAACCCTTCCCGAGTTCTTCATCCTTTCGGGATTCTCTCCATCCTACCTGTCCCCTGTGAGGGACAGGAGGATGGAGAGAAACCCGAAAGGATGAATAATAATAATAATAATAATAAACCCTTTATTATCAAAGTATAACATGTATACAGTGAAATTGGCTGAGCCTCCCTCTGTGCACCCCCCTCACCACAAACTCACGGTGACTACAACCCCCCAACTTATTTCACCCTGTGAACTAATTGCACATCACGCTGGCCTCACGAGTCTGTCATGCATAAAGTTATAAAGTTATGTCCCATTCAGAAGCCTTACAGCCCATGGATAAAAGCTGTCCTTCAGCCTGTTGGTACGGCTGGCTAGGTTTCTGTATCTCCTACCCGATGGTAGGAGAGTAAAAAGGTACCGACCATGGTGTGAGTCATCCCTGAGAATTTTCCTCACTCTGCCAAGGCAACGAGCCCTGGCGATGTCATCCAGTGGAGTCAGGGAACAGCCCACGATGTCTTGTGCCGTGCTCACCACCCTTGGTGGTGAGGGGGGGGGCACTTGGGAAGGGTTGCCTTCTAATAAATGAATCTGGCTTTCAACAAATGCCATCCGATAAATGGTAGTTTTGAGACTGATCACTCATTCCTATAGCAGTCATTTGGGTCTAAGGTTATTCTTCCCCCACGATAACCATCGTCTTTCAGTGCCTATAACAGGTCCTCAGCAAGTTCAGCGGAACCATCGGTACCAAATGGTGGGGACCTCCATTACGTGACCGCTCAAAGTCACCTTTCATTGCAAGTTGTCCCCATCTTCAGTGTGCCCTATTGTATTTCCAAGGTAACTTGTTGCCCGGTGGGAGCGTAGAGTTCTCTGTCCAGGTGGTGAATGATGGATCCGCTGCAACATTCACCTTTAACGTCCGCGATGACCTGGGTTTCACACAGACCTTTAGACCTACACAAGGTTTCCTGAGGAAAGGAGAGAGCACCATTCTCACGGCGACTTTTGTGGCACCTGCCAAGAGCTCTGACTTTGCCTCAAGGTAGGATAACGTTTTAGAAATCGTGTGTCGGGTCTGCCATCTTCAGCGTCTTCACTTTGCTGGCATCCTTGCCATAAGTTGCACGGGAGGGGGAGGGGGAATTTGGGGCAGTAATATGTGGGCCTGGGAATGAGAAGACAAACAGCGGGAGGGGTGACATGTTGACGAGAGGTGCCAAACCGGAATAAACCAGCCTCCAAGGACACCTGGCCTGGGAACCGAATGCGAAACTGCAGTGAGAGGCGCCAAACATCTGAGCCGTTCCCAAAATATCCAAAAGGCATCCTATTGGACACTGATGGACTGGTCAAGTGGGGAGGGCCAGGAAAAGGGGTGAAAGTGTAACCTTTGCATGGGAATATTCGGATCTAGCTTTACTTTCACTGTAACCACTTAACTTTAGTAAAAGAACCTATCACTTCAATCAAATGGAGTCAAGGGTCTTTCTTTCCTAAATGTCTAAGCTGGAGCTGGTTTGACATCATATTGCTAACTTAACAACTGCAGTGATTCACTTAACAACTGTGGCAGGAAATGGGGCAAAGTTCACTTAACAGTCTCTCTTAGCAACAGAAACGTTGGGCTCAGTTGTGGTCATAAGTCAAGGACTACCAGTATCGGTATAAAAGTAGCTTTCCTCTCCTTCTACTGAATCCAGTTTCTAAACCAGGGGTAATCATCCTTGGTTCTTTTATGACTCGTGGACTTCAACTCCCAGAATTCCTGAGCCAGCTGTGCTGGCTCAGGAATTCTGGGAGTTGAAGTCCACGAGTCATAAAAGAGCCAAGGTTGACTACCCCTGTTCTAAACCATAATGGCTGGGTTTGGGCAGTACACTAAGCCAAAACCCAAACAATGGCATTTTGGTTTAGTGCAATATACAAACCCAGTTGTTAGAAACCCACTGCCTGCCTCAATCATTCATGCCATCTTTAAGCAACCTTCTACTGTACATTTATCTACAATTTTGCTTGGATTAAAAGGAAGGATTCCTTAGAAGGAAACTTAAAGCAGATAGGATTGCAGTTCCTGTACTTAATCTTGGAGAGAGAGAGTCTGAAAGCCACGGTTTGTCATTTTCTAACTTCTTTCGGTTATTGTAAATTTGAAATTGGGTCAGAGCCAGTCCTGAATAGTAATGTGAGCGCCGGATTGTCTGAAGTGTGGGAGGCTTTTCATATCACCCTTCCAAAGAGGAATGGGTCAACTCATCATGGCCAACTCGCCGTGGAGCAATTTGCCACGGCTCACTCACAATTCAATAATTCAATTTAATTATTTACAATAATTTTTTAAAAAAATAATTTTTGTCATTCACATTTCATTTTGTCCCTTCTTTGGCATCCTTTTTTTAATAATTCTATTCCACAATTTCTTTGATATTAGTGTAATTCTTCTCCCACAGTGAGTTGTCCTGCGGCTAGTTGGACACAGCAAGTTGTCGCAGGGTGAGTTGGCCACAGCACGTTGGCTGTGGCAACTTTGCCCCTTCCAAAGATATGCCTGCATTATTAACAATCATCATTAACTTTTCTTTCAGTCTTGCAACATTTACAGCGAAAACCAGTTCATCGCAAAATTACCTGACTCTGCCCATCACTGTCATTCCCAAAACAGCGTTGGTGAGTCTCATCCACTCAGATGGTTCCCAGATTATTGCTAAACTTCTGAAAATTTGTTCATGTGTTCTATAGTGCAGTCTTTCTCAACCTTAGCAACTTTAAGATATGCGGACTTCAATTCCCAGAATTCCTCAGCCAAGGAGAACATCATAATCTACAATCTTGGTTTTTTTTCTTGGTTTTGCAGCGCCAGTTTTGGTTCTCTGCCTTGTCACGATCCAGACCAATATCTTAGGAGAAACAGCTGTTGCTCCTCCAAAAAGCAAGGGAAGATACAAGCACAGACTTAAATGGAGCCACTTTGTTTTATATTAGCTAAATTTAAATCAAAAGATTGGGGTGAAGGTTTCTCAACTTGCAGACAATAGCTCACAGTCCAGCACCATATTCCTGCTCTTTTTGGTTTACTTGATTTAAGGCAGTGGTTCTCAACCTGTGGGTCGGGACCCCATTTGGGGTCAATCGACCATTTCACGGGGGTCACCAAGCAAGGCTGTCCGCCATTTTTTGTCCGCCATTTTTTCCCCTTTTCCGGCAGGTGCCTTACCTCCCTTGGGCTGGGCCAGCTGGTGGTCGGCCTGCTCGGTCTCTGCCGCTTGCCAGCTACGCCTCAGCTGGCACAGGGGGCGGAACCACGCATGCGTGGCGCTCCCAGGCAGGGAAAGTCCTCGACTTACGACCGGTTGGGTAGTCCTCGACTTACGACCGGTTTAGTCCTCGACTTACGACCAGTTTAGTCCTCGACTTATGGCCGGTTGGGGTCGCGGCATTAAAAAGGTTGAGAACCACTGATTTAAGGGGAAAACAGTAAGGGAGCCTTTCTCTAGCCCAGTGTTTCTCAAACTTGGTAACTAGGATGTTTGAACTTCAACTCCCAGAATTCCCCAGCCAAAATGGACATCCTCATTTCGTTTCTGCAACAATGCAGAAGCAACTAGCCCTCACCCGTTTCCAAGATGGGGTTTCAACTTCCAAGTCTAATCACGGTCCTCAGATATCTGGTTGCCTTCACATCCATCTTTGATTTGCTTATTGAGCTCAGCTACATGGGATTAGAATCAGAATCACAATCACAAGAGTTGAAAGGGACCTTGTAGGTCAGGCAATGGGGAAAAAGTCCCGGTACGTCGCGCAACATCACATGATGTCACGAATTTGACATGCCTGTTGTAGGTCATCTAGTCCAGGGCTTTTCAACCTTTTCACCCATTGTACCACTTTTAGGATATGGCAATATCTGAGTATCACCAGTCGCCTAGCAAGGTGTCAAAAACTTGACCCCCCCAAAAAAAAGGAAAAAAGTGATAAAGTACAGGTAGTCTTCGATTTACAATAGTTCGCTTAGTGACTGTTCCAAGTTACAATGGCACTGAAAAAGTGCCCCCCAAGCCACAGCCAAGCAAGTCACCTGCCTGCCCACCCGGTGGCGCTCTTCCTCCTGTCCGAGGTTTTCATTGTTGTGAGCCTTTCTGTTGAGGATTGGCAGTGGAGACGGGGTGGGGGGTGTTTGGTTTTTATTCCCCCCCGTCTGCTGGGTGGTTGTAGCAGGTTTTGGTCACTTCACATGACCCTGGGACACTGAGACTGTCATAAATAGGAATCAGTTGCCAAGCATCTGAATGTAAATCACAAGACCCTGGAGATGCTGCAATATTCCAGCTGATCGGTGCTTCTTCTGGGTTCAGCAGAAGTGGCAGGATCAGCGCCGAGCTCCAGCTGGAACCTGGCGCTGATCCTGGCGCTTCTGCTGAGCCCTGACAGCCCTGCAGCTCCAGCCATCTCTCGCTCAGGCTTGTGCGGTGCTGCCACCGGTTCAGCTCATTCCCCTCCCCCGCTACCACTTTTCTAGGATGGTCGCGTACCACCTGCCAGGTACCAATGTACCACAGGTGGTACCTGTACCACTGGTTGAAAAGCCCTGATCTAGTCCAATCCCCCGCCAAGCAGGAGTCCCTACACCATTTCTGACAGATGGCAGTCCAGTCTCTTCTTGAAAGCCTCCAGTAATGAAGCACCACCAACAACTGAAGGCAGCCTATTCCATTGATTGATTGTTCTCACTGTCAGAAAATTTCTCCTTATTTATAGGTTGAATCTCTCCTTGCTCAGTTTCCATCCGTTATTCCTTGTCTGGTCTTCAGGTGCTTTGGAAAATAGATTGACCCCCTCCTCTCTGTGACAGCCTCTCAAATATTGGAAGACTGCTATCATGTCATCCCTGGTCCTTCTCTTCACTAGACTAGCTATGCCCAGTTCCTGTAACCGTTCTTCATATGTTTTAGCCTCCAGTCCCCTAATCATCTTTGTTGCTCTTCTCTGCACTTTTTCTAGAGTCTCACTATCTTTTTTATAGTGTGGAGACCAAAACTGGTTGCAGTGTTCTAGATGTGGTCTTACTAAGGCTTTATAGAGTGGTATTAGTACCCTCACGTGATCTTGATTGAATCCCTCCGTTAATGCAACTTAGGATTGCATTGGCTTTTTTGGCTGCCGCCACACACTATTAGCTCATATTTAATTGATTGTCCATTAAGACTCCAAGATCCCTCTCACAGTGGCTGCTATTAAGCCTGGTTTCACCCAATCTATATGTGTACTTTTGGTTTTTCTTGCCTAAGTGTAAGACTTTACTTTTCTCTACATTGAATTTCATTTTGTTAGATAGGGCTCGGTGTTCACGTCTGTCAAGTTCCATCTGGATTAGTGTTGCTATTCAGTCAGGCACAAATGTCTACTCCAGGGGTTCCCAACCGAGGGTGCTCGCACCCCCTGGGGGTGCAAGATGATATTCCAGGAGGTGCGAAAACTTGGGTTTTCAAAATTATAGTGTATTCAGTGTTTCTCAGCCTTGACAATTTTAAGGCATGTGGACTTCAACTCCCAGAATTCCACAGCCAGCAATGCTGGCTGTGGAATTCTGGGAGTTGAAGTCCACATGCCTTAAAATTGTCAAGGTTGAGAAACACTGATGCATAATTCATTGCCGTTATTTTTAACTTTTGTAAGGGGTGCGAGAATATATCAGAAGCGTTCTAGGGGTGCGGAGTGTAGAAAAGGTTGGGAGTCGCTGGTCTACTCACAAGGAGGGTTAATAAATATATGCTCTTCCTTCAGGAAACTGAAGAAAACCCACCAGTCTATCACCTTCTCCATTTCTATATGCCTTGTGGAGCTGACAGCCAGCACAGACCCAACTGCTCTCAACACATCTGGCACATGACATTTTCTGCTGAGGATGCTGAAACTGCTGTTAGTGTCCAGATCAGCCCGGATCCCCGTGCTTTATCTTGTCGCCCAGAAGAGGAGGGCAATGATAAGAAGCTTATCTGTGATTACAAGTTTGTATCTCTGTTTTCTAAACATCTGTATTACAGAATGTAGAGTCATTAACCTGCTGCTCTCCAGATGTACTTGAGCAATATTTATTTTATTTATTTATTTAGAACATTTAGATAGCCGCCTACTCACTCACAGCGACTCTAGGCGGCCTACAAACAGTAAAAAAAACAAAAAGTAGAAAAAAATAAAAAAGATAAAAAACAATAACCCACCACCCCACATACCCACCCCCAGCCACAGTACACAATTAAATAAGCCATCTGATGGGCTCCATCACACTCTGGGTTCCCTAGGCCAGGGCTTTTCAACCAGTGGTACGGGTACCACCTGTGGTACATTGGCACCTGGCAGGTGGTACGTGACCATCCTAGAAAAGTGGTAGCGGGGGAGGGGAATGAGCTGAACCGGTGGCAGCACCGCACAAGCCTGAGCGAGAGATGGCTGGAGCTGCAGGGCTGTCAGGGCTCAGTGGAAGCGCCAGGATCAGCGCCAGGCTCCAGCTGGAGCTCAGCGCTGATCCTGGCACTTCTACTGAGCCCAGAAGAAGCGCCGATCAGCTGGAATGTTGCAGCACCTCCAGGGTCTTGTGATTTACATTCAGATGCTTGGCAATTAAGTCTTATTTTCAGGGAAATATGGTACTAAATGCATCCCTCTGGCTGACAATCTTAACTGGGGCTTATTTTTGGGGTGTGGCTTATATTACGAGCATCCTGAAAAATCATGCTAGGGCTTATTTTCCAGTTAGATCTTATTTTCAGGGAAACAGGGGTATTATAATAAGCTAGAGATTGCCAAGATTTATATATCTACGTGCCTTAGCTAGCATCCTTCTAGTGTGTCCTTCTGACTTGTAACTTTCTTGTTGCTAAGCAGTAGTGTCCCCACCAGTTGTTACACTCCTCGCAGCTGCAACTTTCTGCCTCAGTGATTCCATTAACAAACTTTCCTAATTCCAACCTCAGTTCTTCGTTCTGACTTTGCCAGTCTTTCGGAAAGCTCTTTTTCTGTTTCCCAGGCCCCTTTACCGTCTCCTGTTTAGCCCTCTTCTTTGTTTATCTCCTCTCTAGGTCAAGCTGCTGTTCTCCTTTAGCCGAGATCCTGATCAGTGATGAGAATGGCAACGTGAACAATTTCACCGTGGATTACAACACACAGCCTCCCACCCCAGCCTTGTGAGTTCTGACATACTTGAGTTTCTTTCTTTCTTTTTTTCCTACTGCATGTTTTATTAGTTTATCAAAATATAAAATACGAAGAGAAATTCAAAAAAGGAATAAAAATCTAGGAGGGGGGGAGGCAAAAGGGAAAAAAAAACAGTGTAAAGAGGGAAAGGGACAGAAAAAGGCACCAACTTCCCATTCTCTTTAGCACAGCAGAAGATAACATTATAACCTCAACTATTTACTGTTACACAACTGTATGTACTAGCCCAGTGATGGCGAACCTATGGCACGCGTGCCAGAGGCGGCACTCGGAGCCTCTCTGTGGGCACACGTGCCGTTGCCCCAGCCTCGCGTCCCCCCATGACCCCCTCCTCACCAGCAGCCCCCTGGAGGAGAGTTGCCCCCGAGTGTGGCCCACATGAAGCAGCGCAGCCAAGGACATGGCAGCCAGGCAGCATAGACAAGACTCTGCCCTCACGCCCCATCCTGTACGGTTGATGCTGTGGGGCGTGGGCAGACGGCGTGGCCGCCATGGCACTGCTGGGCTGCCTGGGCGATCTGTGGTGGGCCCTGGAGGCAGTGAATGGCCCTGCAGGCAGACGGGGTGGGAGTGGAGGAGGGGCAGGGGGTGGAGCGTGGGTGGGCCCAGTTTTTGGGCACTCGGTCTCTAAAAGGTTCGCCATCACTGTACTAGCCAAATCTATCTAATTAGCAAAGACAAAATCAAAGTTTCATGTGTTTTTTTTCATTGAGAGCTCAAAATCCAGAAGCAATTTCCAAATAGAAACAAAGTTAAACATATGCTCTTCTTTGGATAAAAGACTTGACTTTCTGAAGATGCCATATTTGGAATCAGATAACTGAAGATGCTTAAGGTAGCCTTCACCTGGCACCTTCCAAAATAATTGGGATAACAGATCCCAGACTTCCCAACCAGCAACAGTAGGTAGGTTGAGGAAGACTGCATTAAAAAATTAACCAGTTTTTTTTCTATACCACAACAATTAGAACAATTAATCAGTGGAACAACCTGCCTCCAGAAGCGGTGAATGCTCCAACACTGGAGGTTTTTAAGAAGAGACTAGACAGCCATTTGTCCGAAATGGTATAGGGTTTCCTGCCTGAGCAAGGGGTTGGACTAGATGACCTCCAAGATCCCTTCCAACTTTATTATTATTATTATTATTATTATTATTATTATTATTATTATTATTATTATTATTATTATTATTATTATTATTATTATTATTATTATTATTATTATTATTATTATTACAATGAACAATATATGATCTGCGGATATCAGGGCATCTGCAGCAAACTCCCCCAGTTCTTTAATTTAAAAATTAAAAAGGCTCAGAGCCCTAGTATTCATGCTGTAACACACAGGAGAGATCCTCAACTTTTAGTGTCATCTTTTCTCAAACTGAGCATCGCTAGCAATTCCCATTCCCCCTTCTTAAGATTTGGATTCCAGGACCCGTCATCCTGTTCCCATGGCCATGAGATCCAAGTTGCAAATGTCTAACCCTCTTACGACAACCTGTGTTCCTCCAGATGTTTGCAGGTAGTCCTCGATTTAAAACAGGTCACTTGGCATTCGAAGTTATGACGGAGCCGCCCTCCCCCAGAAAGGTACTTACCTCCCAGATCTGATGTTCCCATCAGTTGAAGTCCACAAGTCTTAAAGTTGCTAAGGATGGAGACCCCTGCTATAGTAGATAAGCGCCTTTATGTACAAGATATAAAATTCTGGGTTATCTAGAAAAGATCAGTGATAAAACCAAGAAAGTATTTAATTAATTTATCTATTTATTAAATTTATATCTCACCTATCTCACTGTCCAAACTGACTCTGGGCAGCTTACAATGTTAAATATATATAAATAAATATATACATTCCTCCCTTTGAAAAACATTGTTCTAGATATACACTTTAAAATGTTGGTTCCTTGTGGTTGGAATTGACAAACTGGCCGCCATTTTGCCTTATAAACCAGATCTTTGGATTACTGAGGCAAAACAGCTTGCAGTGGAATTCCCTGGGTTTATTAGTTCAGATGATCACAACCTGCTCGATATTCATTTTCTTATTCTCTGTTGATATATTTGCATCTACATTCCTGAGTGCCTAATATATTACGGTAACTAGCATATGGTCAATACTGGAGTTATTTATAACTTGGTATTTCAACCATCTGTACTGAAATGTGATCTCTGTTACATTAACTGTGTGGTTTTAGATTAGGGCGAGAAATTAAGATTTGAGTAAAAATTCTACATCTGGTCTACTCAGGGTCAAGTTTCTTTGGCATTTTGGAACCACTTTTCATCTCCTTCACGCTGCGTTTTCCTACCACCCTCAGACAAAAAGACACAAAACTTTGATTAAAGGATATTTCAGGCACGGCGATTTAGCTCCCAAGAATTTGGGAACCGTATCTTATTTTGCCCATATTATGGATGCCTTTATATTTTAATGCTGTAAACTGCCCAGAGTCACTCTGGAAGAGAAATGGGAGATATAGATAGATAGATAGATATATAGATAGATAGATAGATAGATAGATAGATAGATAGATAGATAGATAGATAGATAGATAGATAGATAGATAGATAGATAGATAGATAGATAGATAGATAGATAGATAGATAGATAGATAGATAGATAGATAGATAAGGAGAGAGAGAGAGACAGAGAGACAGACAGAGAGACAGAGACAGACAGACAGAGAAAGAGAGAGAGACAGACAGACAGACAGACAGACAGACAGACAGACAGGTCCTTGGTGCTTTCTGAACTTTATTGTTTTCTTGGCAAACACTTTATTACCCAAAACTAGGCAACATCAGTGCTTGATGCGGTTTGCTCTCAATTTATATTTTAGTGGGTGGGAGTGGTCTTAGAATGGTCTTAGAGGCTCTTTGGCTGGGCTGTTTCCTGTTAGCTCGTTTGACAATTCCTTGATTAATAAAGGAGAATATTTGTAGCTCAGGGTTGGAATGAGGGGTCCTTGGTGCTCTCTGACCTTGCTTGTTTTCTTGCAGACATTTCATTACCCAGACTAGGTAACATCATCAGGGCTAGTAAGGAGTGTCAGTTTATATTCTACTGCAGGGGTAGGCAAACTTGGCTCTTTTATGACTCGTGGACTTCAACTCCCAGAATTCCTGAGCCAGCAGTCATAAAAGAGCCAAGGTTGCCTACCCCTGTTCTAGTGGCTTGTCCTGTCAATGTTGATGGGGGTGGTCCTGGAGGTTCTTTGATTGGGCTGTTTGCTGTTGGCTTCTTTGGTTTCTTGACTGGGATATTGTTTATTTCTTGATTGTTGATCTGACATTAATTTATGCTTATCTGGATGTTGATTGTTGGTGTGAGGTGTTTTGGAGTGAAGTGTTCCCCAAAATACCTCCCCACCAGCAATGGATGGATAGATAGACAGATAGACAGACAGACAGACAGACAGACAGACAGACAGACAGACAGACAGACACATTTGAGACCCTAGAAAGAGTACAGAGAAGAGCAACAAAGATGATTAGGGGACTGGAGGCTAAAGCATATAAGGAACGGTTGCTGGAATTGGGTATGTCTAGTTTAACGGAGAGAAGGATGAGGGGGGACATGATAGCCGTGTTCCAATATCTCAGGGGCTGCCACAAAGAAGAGGGAGTCAAGCTATTTTCCAAAACACCTGAAGGCAGGACAAGAAGCAACGGGTGGAAACTAATCAAGGAGAGAAGCAACCTAGAACTAAGGAGAAACTTCCTGACAGTGAGAACAATTAACCAGTGGAAAAATCTGCCTCCAGAAGCGGTGAATGCTCCAACACTGGAGGTTTTTAAGAAGAGACTGGACAGTCATTTGTCTGAAATGGTATAAGGTTTCCTGCCTGAGCAGGGGGTTGGACTAGATGACCTCCAAGTTCCCTTCCAACATTATTATTATTATTATTATTATTATTATTATTATTATTATTATTATTATTATTATTATTATTATTATTATTATTATTATTATTATTATTATTATTATTTCTCTTGAATGATTTTCTACATTACAGAATTAGTTTTGTCTTCACACTAAAATTAATCAGGGTTATTCCTGCTTTCTCCATATAATATTAAGTTTCATCAACTTTTTTTTTCATTTCATGCTTCCTTCCACAATCCCACTGCAATTCTACCAGCCAATAGATGTCCAGAAGGCTGAAAGCATCATGAGCACCATCGGTACTCTGAGAGATCTTCCGGTTTTCTTCAGTAGCATTTTGAATACTATCCAACCTGAGGGCCCCGTCATCCATCCAGCACTATGTCAACAATCGCTTTATCTTGTCTATCCGTCTGGCTTTCTTAGTAGATAACTGGAGCGGCTTATCAGTCCTTCTCCTGTGCAGTGTGAGAGGATGCCTTTGCCCGTTGTCGCTCTCAGGTGATCATCTGCCTCCGGCATCGTCTTATATCGTTGCTGCTGACCTGGAGGTGCCTGCTTACTTTCACTAGACAGCTGAAGTGACCTTCACACCTTTGCTGACCTTGCAGCAGTGGTGGGATTCAGCCAGTTCGCACCACTTCAGCAGAACCAGTAGCTAATTTTTTGTTGCCCAGGTCCAGAATGGACTTCCGGAAGCGGCATCCACACCAGTTTAGTAGTATAAATTGATCTGGACATTAGTCGATTCAATGGGCAGAACTCAACCAGTGTTGAGGAACCTAAACTGCTTCAGAAGGGGCAGTCTACTCTAACCTATTCCTCCAGAAACTGACGCCAACTTTTAAGTTCTAAAAGTGTGCAGAAATATTATTAAATACGTGGATAATACAATTGCTTTACTGTAATTTTAATTTAATTAAATTTCAAATTAAATCAATGGTCATTCTTCTCCTCCTCCTCCTTCTTCTTCTTCTTCTTCCTCCTCCTCCTCTTCTTCTTTCTCCTCCTCCTTCCTTTTTCTTCCCACTCCTCTTCTTCTTCTTCATCATCATCTTCTTCATCATCATCATTCTCCT